ATCCAAGTTGTAAATCAAGTTCCATATGTGTAGGATCTCTTGGTGAGATCCTTAGTGTTTTAGAATGAAAGTAGGAGCTCAGTCTTGAGGGTCATTCTGAAACTCCAATGGCTAATCATACTCAAGTAGAGGGATTAATCCATGTGGTGAGGAGTAGCAGGAGGTCCCAGTCTTGGAGGCTTCCAGTATGCTCCAGGGCGCGGAACGGACTAACCTCGTGAGTGTGGTAGGGTTGAACCCATTGGCAACGGCTTTGCAAAGCAGTAGAGGCCACCACGAGTGCAGGACCAGCATAGCTCGACTATCATTCTAAAGTCCGGACGAGTCAAGTCTAGAAGATAACATGCTAGGATGTATGCCTTAAACTACTTTGATTTAAGTTAACTCTTGTATGTTATGTGCTTGATATGATGCATGCTTTTATATAATTAGCTCACCCTTGCTTGTTTGTGTGATTGTTGTATGTGTTTTCTTTTGCAATGATCATCCACTTGGATGTGAGCAAAGGAAGATGAGGTTTCTTTGGAGGCAACATTAGAGAGAAATGAAGATGATGATGCAACTTAGACTCACTAGGAATTCTTAGTTCTCTTATGTCATTCTGAAGAACCTTGTTATGTTTTAAGTTTCAAATTCTGGACATATTTTGGAATACTCTAGTGAATGAAGTTTTAATTTCTTAGGAAATTCTGGAAGACTATAATCCTATTTACTCTCAACTGCTTTCCTATATTATGCATGTGGACGTCTTTATTATATATTTTGTCTATATAATTGGGATGTCACAATTAACAAATTTTTAATTTTTAATTTAAAATTTAATAATTATTTAATTTAATAATTATTTAATTTAATAATTAATATAATTTAATATATTTAGATATATTAAATCAGATTTTATATTATTATTTTTATTATTATTACTACTTTTATTTTAATTATGTTTTATTTTATTTTTAATATAACTATTATAATAATTGAAACACTTTTATTATTATTTTTATTATTATTACTACTTTTATTTTTAATATTAAACACTTTGATAGCCAAAACAAAATACAAAGAAAACATACACATACATGGATAATTAAATGTCTTGTCTCCCACAACCCAACTATAATAAAATATTCCACATTTTCTTTATCCTCACAATCCAAAATATAATATAATAATAAAAATATTTCCCAATTTTCCTAGTTCTTAAAAACTTGGATGAGGAAGCTCTTTGGGAGAGTGGTGGAAAGTGACACTTATTTACTTTTTTGTAAGGCTCGAGGAGGAGCATGAGAAATATGTTTTGTTTGGAGACTTGTGAGGTAGGAATGAAAAGTGGTTTTAGTTAAGGAGGTGAGTTGGTTTTGGATGATAAGCTATGTGTGAGAGTTTTGTTGACGATTAATTAAACCTTTTGGGCTGAGTTTGCAAATGAATTCATTATTGTCAAATAATATAACAATAATTGTTATTTGATTATGTGCTATTATATGAATTAACAAAAGATTGAATGAGGTGTGTATGACGTGTTATTATTATATATTTTTAAGTTTAATTATTATGTTTTCTTTTAAGTTAGCTCACTTTTTCATATTCGTAGTGTTGGTTTCCACCTGTAATGATGATATGAAGTGTTATATATGAGTAGACAATATTATAGATGGTGGTTGAAATGCACAACAATAATGAGTTGATGATTGTTTTATGAATGCATTTGCTTTTATTTTGGAAGTATTTTTGACAAATTTAAATTAATGAATATTTTTAAATGTTTTCTTATTATTTGAAATAAATGTTATTGAGTGGAACATTTATCTGATGAAATAATTAATGTTTTAATTCTATTTTATGATGCAAAATAAATATGTTTAGAATATGCACAAAAGATTTCTAAGTTTTTAAGGATGTTACACCTTGCATTATCATAGAATCAGTTCAACATCAATGAGAATCAATTCCCTTCTCTTTGGAATCGATTACTCCTTCATTCAATTTCGATCACAACCTCCATCCTTCTCCACCATGGAACCTCACCATAGTCGTAGCCTCCATCCTTCACCATCATGGAATCTCAACTTAGTTGTAGCATCAACAAAGCATGCATGTGAAGAAAACATGTGTTTACATCAAGGGTATAATTGTATTTACACTTGTATCACCCTTAAATCACCTCATTAGAAGAGAGAGTAAAAAATCTCACAATCCCATTAATCCTTTCCTTCTCTTGATTTCAAATTTGCAAATGCGAACATGAATCTTACCTGCAAATCATTCTTTCTATCTCTCATCATATCTCTCACCATAGTAAATCATTCATAAACAAACAAAACATACATATTGTAACATAATTATAATAGTACATTGTCTTTTTGAATATTTTTTTTGAAAAAAAAAAAATATTTGTCTGTATTTAGTAATGATGATGTCACCATGATGAATTATTGTGTGAATCAATCCATAATAATGTAATTAATTTAGATAACCAATATTAAAAAGGCCATTTGCTAAAGTCCCTATTACAAGTCTATGGTTTTGAAAAGTTTGAAGAATCAACACTCAACACAGTTAATAAAGGCAATGCAACAACCAAGAAGATGAAAGTAAAGTCAAAGTCAATCCTAATTTTGGTCTAGTTTCCCACATATTCAACCTTTTCAACGGTTCTGATTCGTTTGGAGAAAGTTCAACTATGGTGTTGATGTTGACAATTGTATAAGCCGCAATTGCCTTCACGCACTTCTCGCCGGAAGAAAGGATCCTCTGCACATGCACCTACCATACATCTCATTGTCAACCATAGTAGGTAGAGATCACAGATGGGTAGGTGTTATAGAACCCTTTTTAAAATAAATTAACTACTTGTATTAACTTCCATAGAATTACTCATCATATCATTAACGAGTGATCATTCAAATATGTGAGTTTACTGGGATATCACTTTTTTAAATTTTTATTTTAGCTTACATTTATTAGTCATCAAAATTTAAAATCTACTATATATAAATATATACAATAAAAAACTTATCAATTTTTAACAAAAAAAAGCATTTTTTTTTCATTTTTATAGGATATAACACGTCGCATGTATGAAAAAGAAAACCATTTATTTCCTCCATTCAAAGACCAATAAAACATATTTATCAAAATAAATAATAACATATAAAAGTAAAAAAAAAATATTATTCTATTTTTATCATTATTTATAATAATAAGTTTTCAATTTAGAATCAAAATAGTAAAACAAAATTAAAATCTTACTATTAAACTCCTCAAATATGTCATAAAAGATGTTTAAATATAATATTAATAGTATAACCCTAGAGTCATAAATTTGGCTGATGATAATTTATAAATATATATCTAGTTTACATTAATGGATAGATAGTTTTACTAGTATGGATTCCCCTTCTTCATCCCTAATAGTAGGTATAATTATTCCATTGTCTAATATTTTTTTCTTCATGTTTATTTAAATTTTAATAATTACTAGTAGTATCTCTACTATTAGGTTTGTTTCAAACCTCTTATTCAAAATAAAGAAGATGATTCTTTTCTCATGATTGAGAAGGTTTAATTTTTCTTTATTATATATATATATATATATATATATATATATATATATATATATATATATATATATAT